AGTACATATGCGTCTATAGTGTAACACTGATAGTTGTTAAGGGTGCAAAACACAAAAGGTCCAATATGGTGGCACTCAACCGTCTGTGCTTGTATAGGTTATTTCGTATTGTTCCGTCACAAGTATGATTGAATTATTGCGATGTTAACCTTTTTTTTTTTTTCTATCTCACATATGATTCGACTATACCGTACGTTACCCGAGTGTTGCCCATTTAATGTATGTATGTACTTGAGTAGTGCATGGGCGTCGGCATGCAGGGGGGGGGGGGGTGCAAAAGGGGCACCCTCAAGCCGCAAAATTAGCGCTTCACTCCTTACTGAGCCGAGATTCAGCACCGGTTTGCTGCCCCCCCCCCCCCCCCCCCAAGACAAAATCCTGCCGACGCTCATGATTGAGTGAAGAGTCGACGACCAAGCTAGGTGCTAAGGGCCATAATGTGTACGTTGAAGGCACCACCAACTATTATGAAGGGTTTGTCCTTGTGGGTGTCTTATATTTGATATTAGTCTATTGGTAAATTCTGTGTGTGTGTCTCACATATGTTTCGATTATATCCGTGACAACGGACACCGTGGAAGGAGAAGCTGGAGAAATTTTCGCCTCCATACAATAATGCCATGTCACGCTTATGCCGCGCGCGCTGTTCGTGACTAAAAAGTAAAGGCACACGGCGGTAACGTGAAGAAGAGCCTGCAAGATAACGGTTATTTTTGTGTGAATGAGAAAGACACCTTTAGTTTTGAGAGCAGACTATTACTCCTCTTAGGGGGTTATTTGCCGCTGGGAAGCAGATGTGTCGTGGATGTTCGTGTACGAAAAGTTCCGAGTCGGGCCGAATAGGATCGGCTGTTCGAGGGGAAAAAATGACCTCGGAATAACGAGTCGAATGTAATACGAGCCACAAGGAAGAAGCGGATGCATCGTAGAGAAGACACGTAGTGAAACTTGCTTTGCCAAACCATGGCAGTGTCTTCGTGGAACCAGAGACACTCAAGAAAGCACGCCTGGAACCTTTTCCGTGGCACTACTGAATATAGAAGGCCTGGAAGAATGGACGGCGGACTTTCCCGAGTACACCATAAGCCAGACGAAATTGCGCGACTGCTCATCAGTGTCATCGCTCCAGGATCCGTCCATTTCACTGTGCATTGGCTGATTGGAATTTACAAGTAGTGACACCAAAACCAATCATGTCTGCTCTAACACCGCTTTTTTTTTTCTGTTCCAACATTAGGGTTATGGTCTAGTGCAGGGTTATGGTCACGGAAACATAACCGCACGTTTCAGCGCTGTGTGTGCTTTACGTAGCGTAAGATGCCAGCAAAGGCGGCCAAAAGAAATGACCACCGGACACGCCCTCATCCTCCGACAGCGGCCGCGAGCGTTGTTGCGTCAGGCAGTCGGCGGAGTATCCGGAGCTCTGCACGGAGTGTTTTGTGCCTGCCTGGCGGGGCGGCTTGTGCGGTCACATCGTTTACGTGATCGAGTAGAACTGATAAGCACAGTTGTGTGTCTCTGTTGCACGCTACAACCCTCCCCATCTCTTCTTTTGGTGACAAGAGGGGAGTCTTCGTTGTTGTCGAGAAAACCACGCCGGAGCGATGGAGCAAGCGGGTGCAAAGAGGAGCTCATAGGCGGGAATAAAGGGCGCGGTCGAACCCCGCCGCCTTTGTTGCCCCTCCTCCGCGGGGATGAGAGGGGGAGGCGCGGTGGCGGGGGAGGCTGCCCGAAGCGTGCCCTCGAAGAGTCGACGTCGCGGTTTCGTTCTCACGGTCTCGCAAGGACGCTGCCCCCCGAATTCCTATCGCGCCCGCGGGATGTGTGTGCCTCTTGTTCCGACCAACTGGCCTGCTGCTTCCCTCTTCATTCCCCTTCGTTTCGTCTATCAGGGTCAACGGGAGGGAGTGGTACGACGCCACAAATTATTGCTGACGCCGTGCATCGTCTGTCCTTCTGTCTATCCACAGTTGAAGCGCACATTGCAGCCGTGCTCAAGCGCTCATTCGCGTGCCGCTGGGAAGATTGTAACGGAAATTCTTGCGAGTTGGATACCCGGCATGTTTGTTGACACACGCCGTTTTTAATAATCCGCTCACATGGACGTTCCTGGCGGTGCTCGCAATCAACTAGCTCAAAGCAAGATTGTGCGGGAGATCTTTCTCACACCACATCATTTCTGTCGTGGTAACAGACGTGGAATGAAGGATATTGATCAAAAACTGACACTGTGCATTAGCCTTGACCATACTTCTTGTTCCTTGCGCTGGGTAGAACTTTTGTAGTGGCAGCTAGGTTACTTCCATCACACTATCGCTGCAATTGTACTGTCTCATTTTTTTTTTCTGGGTTCATACGAGTAAACTACTTTTGCGCAATAGCAAAATGGTTTGTCTGATAGGAGGCTTTGTTGGCAAGACGTAACCGACGTGCACGTGACGCAAGAGATGCGACGCCCTCACCGAATTTCCCGCGCTAGCTGGCTGTGACGTCACCAACGTTGGCAGTAGGGTTTTTTTTTTACTTTTTCTTCTTGACAGCTGTGGTCGACTTATTTCCTTCCAAAACCAGCCTAATACGCAAGTATGAAATTTTCGAAAACTTTCTCTCTTCACCGAAACGGACCAGAAGCAATAACGTTTCGGAAACAATAACGTTTCGCAAATCGTGACGTCAGGATGATGTATCCGACGCATCGGCTGGTGCAGGTGTTTTGGCGCGAGATCCGAGAAGGTTGGCCGTTCATTTCCACCAGTAGTAAAATTTCGTTCATTCCCCCGCCCGCTTATGTGAATAAAGGATGAGAAAGTTTCGATCTTGAACCGATTGATTGGTGATGTTTATTTAGTATCCACTCGACGGAGCTAATACGTACTGTTGCCGCTCGAGGGAACGAAAACGGTACCGTGGCAGTGTGCGCGACTCGGATCTTATCGCGGAAAACGGGCACATGTCGTGAGCCGGGCGGAAACGGGAGCCCTGCCGGTGTGGGGAGCGGAGGAAGCGCCCACACAGGGCAGCGGTGGTCACGAACGCAGTCACGAAACGCGACGCGCGCGCCCAACGGTCGACGGTGCAAGTGAGGTCGTCGTGATCGCGTGCGGCGCGACTGGCGCGAAAGCGTACGCGCGAGCGTCACGGAGCGTGAACTGGCCGCCGGTCGTGCGGAGAAACAGGCGTTTTGAACCGCTCTCGTCACGGATTTTGTTTCTTTTTTCCGCTGTTCGCCCTTCCTGGGACGTCTTTCCAAACCCATATCCGTTCTTCCACTGCGCGGGTACTACATTCGCCGTCGCGCTCTGTAGTCGGGAGTGCAATTCTTGGAGAGACGAATGTGCTGTTCCAGGATTGGTGAGTGGTGCGAGGATGGCACAATAGCGACGAATTCGTAGGCAGGAAACAAAAAAAGCAGCATCTAATTAGAGAACAATCTAGCAGATTGCTGTCAGTGAACACGTAACAGTAATTTCCGTTTCAGAACTTTCTTATAGGGACACTAATATTAAACAGTCAATCAGCTTAGACTGATGAACTATTCTGTGAAAACTTGTGTCATTAATTATGCGACCATAGGCGAAAAGTTTCAGTTCTAAATTCCTCCCTATTCACACATGGATGCGTCAGCATGGCATCATGGACCTTTAGAGTAGCTGCCATTTGGGTGGACTGGTGTGAGTACTTTTTATCAAGAAAAAAATTGTATGTGTGCGAAATGAATGTACATCCCAAAAGCCAGCATCATTCTCTAAAATTAATGTGTGTCAACATGCTGTACCAAGAGTAGAACAAGTGCACACCATGACAATGCACCTGTGAAGCCCTTGAAAATCAAGAAAAATGCCACAATCATATCCCACTGAAAATGGCAAAATGTGAGCTTAATCTGGGTGTGCATATGTGTGCATTTTTTTTTTACCACGTTGGCTAAACAGTCTTCTTAAACACGGTACTTTAGGTATCTGGTTCTTTTATAGGACAATTTTTACAAATGAAGAATTTGCATGCCCTTGTAGATGGCATAAAACGTGACATCACAGCGGGAAAGTTTTCAACTTCTTGGTGGTGTCACCAACTGCATGTCTATTTATTTTTTTACATACACATTCTTTTTATGACAACAGTGTTTTTTGTTTTTTATAGCGAGAATTTACTAATGCGAGAAAAAAAATTTCAGGTGTTCACTTTTTCTTAACCCACACACAGACCTGCACCCATTACAAAAAAAAATTTCTGTTACAATTACCTCCTTGAAAAATGTAATAGACTGTATGTAATGGAATGCAAGAAAGATTAGTTGCCAAAAAGGTTTTGAACAACCAAGAGACGCTTTTATTATGTCCATATAGGTTTCTTCATGGCTTTGTGCTACAAATCGTTGGTTGGCAGTTTCCTTTATTTCTGAGAATAATTTTATTTGATCTCGTGCCATTTGTATGTGATTGCAGTTACTTGTATTACTGATGTAAACTTTATCACTTTTATATAATTTGCACCAGAAATACTGGTATTTTAAATATATAGCTCATCTACTTAGTGTTCAGTGACAATCCATCTGCTTAAATTGTTTGTTGCATTTTTCAGGGAGTGTTTGCATGTGCAATTGGTTCAGCGATTACTATTAGGATTTATCAGATGCTTAAATGATGTTTTCAACTCAGAGTCTCTTTATATATTCTGCCACCTGCTCCAAAAATTTGAATTGCTGCTCCCAACTAACATTCTTTTTCTGCTCAGATAACACTTTAGGCTGCTGCAAAAAGAAAAACGTTGCTTCCATCGCTGTATTATTGTCAAGAAAGTGTTTAAATTAACTTCAAAGTTGAAACCTTGATATTTACACAACATGCTCATGGTCCAGTGTCTTCGGTATATGCAGGATGACAATTGAAGCGGAGGGTGCAGTGCACCAGAGACTGCGGCCGAGTCTCCGGCCGAGGCATCTGTCACTGGTCAGAAAGGCAAGAGCCTGGACGAACTCGTGGTCGGGCTCAGCTCGGCCGATGAGCTCAACCATCGACGGCGTGCCCATTACCGAGGCAAAGACTGGTGACGCCGACTCTGCGGCCCCGCAGAAGCAGCAGGGAAAGGAAGAACTGGAAGCTGTGGAAGAAGAGGATGTGGTGAAGGTTGAATCTCTGCCCGACTTGCCAAAGACACCCACAACTCGCTTCTGGGCCAGGTAGGTGCTGAGGCTTTGCAGATTTGATCTGAAAAGACAGATACGAGTGTTTAGTGCACAATACAGGAACTTCGTCTAGATGCAGTCGAAGCCTTTTATTAGAAACATGCACGGAGCAGAAAGTCTTGTCTTTTGCATGAGGTGTCTGTTATAAGCAGGCATGCATGTACCACACATGCATTTTCTCAGCACCTATTTCAATGTAGACACATTAGTGTCTCTTAGAGCCAGTTCTCTGTTGCATCAGTGTCTCGTTTAAAGGGCTTTAACTGTATTCTGTTTATCTGACTGGCGGATAAAAATAGTTGCTTCAAAATATAACCGCTACCACGAAATTTCCAGCGAGTGCCTTTACTCTAGCAAATGCCCTCACGTCTTTACCGGTAATTTGAAATCATTGCGAACTACTTAGAAAAGTACCGTATTTTTGCGCGTATAACCCGCCCCTGCATATAATCCGCACCCCCACTTCCAGCTCACCGAGAAAGAAAAAAAAAATCCTCGCGTATTGCCCGCACATTTGATATACAGGAAAGGCTGTACAAAAGCTACTGCTCAAGCAACATAGCACATATGTAGACAGAAAAAGCTTTATTTAGCAAGCAGAATACGCTGTCTGCAAGGCCAGTCACAATTCACTCACTGTCGCTGCTCTCGCTAGAGCTATCACTTGAGCCGCAGTCCTCACTATTATGCGCAAGGTCATCTTCGGTTCCATCCATGTTGTTTGTGATGCAGCATTTCTTGAAACTTTTTTCGCATTATCTCCCCTGGAATGGCCTTCCATGCCTCGACAATCCACTTGCAGAATAGGGCAATATCAGGCCTTCGGACTTATCCTGTCGGTGTCAAGTCCTAGCAGCCTTCGGCCATCCACTCTGCGTAATAGCGCTTGACATAAGCTTTGAAGGGCTTGTTAAGCGACACATTTAGAGGCTGCAACATTGATGTCATTCCACCGGGTATAACAACTAAGTCGATGCCGTTGCGTGAAAGGTGGTCCTTCACTTCCTCAGTTGGGTGGCCGCGGAACGAGTCAAGAACGAGCATGGACCTCTTTGCGAGCATCGCACCAGGCCTCTTCTCCCATACCGTCTTGATCCAGTCTTCGACAAGTCACTGTTCATCCACGCGTTCTCGTGTGCGTGCACCACCACACCGGCAGGCAAATGAATTTGGTAGAGTTTTCCTTTTCAAGATGACGTACGGTCGCAGTTGCGTGCCGTCGGCAAGGGCACAAAGCAAGACTGTGATGCTCAGTTTCGTGTTCCCGCCGGTCAGCACGCTCACCGAACTGCTGCCCGTCTTCTCAATCGTTGTGTCCAACGGCATTTCAAAATAAACAGGAGTTTCATCCGCATTGCCGATTTGCGAGAAAATGCAATTGTGCTGCTTTCGCAGGCCAATTACATATCTCTGGTACTTGATCATCTCCTCATAAGAAGCCAGCAAGCGTTGACATATTGTAGTCCGCCGTCTGATTGAGAGCCCTTGCCGCTTCATAAAGCGGTGCAGCCATCCGCGGCTCGCACGAACTCGTGAAGTAGGCCTAGCTCCCTCGAAAGTCGCCGCGCTTCCACTTGGGCCATCTCGGTCGATACGGCGTGACCCGTGCTTCTCACATCTTCGATTAACTTTACTAGCTCCGCCTCCAGCTCAGGGTAGGTACTGGTCTTGGGGCCACGAAATGACCTACGGTCGCGGTGCGCGACTTGTAGGCTCTCTTTCTTCTTTCTTCACAGTCGCACGCAGGACTCGTCCACATCGTGTCGTCTTCCTGCTTTGCAATTTCCAAATTCCTCGGCGACGGCGATGATCTTAAGCTTTTGCTGTGCCGTGAAGGCCTGCCGCCGTACGCTACTCATGGTGACAGAACAGATCGACTTAGGCCTGGCAAACGGGTCGAGATATGGAGAACTAACGGTATCAACAAGCTAAAGAGCACTCACACTCTGCGACAACTTGACAGCACTACCCCTTCTAGTACACTGTAACAGCACCCTGGAAACAACAGAACCGAAATGCATGCCTGCTACCGCGTTAAAAAGTAGTACATTAATTACTGATAATATCTCTATAGACACTAACTATAACATCTCATTTGCCTTGCTGAAATAAATACTGCTTTATTATTATGGAACTTTTAGACAGCACAACCTTTTCGGCAAGCCCTTTCCAAAAGTAAACATGGCGTCCGTGACGTAGGGACATGTGGAGGGTCACTGAGCGGCCGCGAACGTCCACAAAGTATACTTGTGGTGTGACAGTGAGATTTTACACTGAACAATCGAATTGTCTCTCCCCAAATGTTTTTCTAAACGCTTCAACGATGCAAGCAAGCGAAACCAAAATCAGCCGCAAGCTGCCGTGCTACTTGCGGAGCAACACGAATTTGCGGAAACCGCCTCCGTAGCCTTCGCTACATTGTTAAGGGGCTTCACAGCACAACACGCATTGCTGTGAAGCAGCACTATAGGAAAAACCCAGCGTATTATCCGCACCTCCACTTCGTCACTGAAATTTTGGGCTTTTGGTGCGGGTTATACGCGCGAAAATACGGTATGTTCCAGCCAATGGAAGCTTGTGTCATATTTGTAGTATTTCACCGGCATAGCACTAAGTCAAAACAAAACCTTTTAGACCGCTTGCCATCACAACCACTACAAATGGTGTTACTAATGAAGTCTTGCGTTGTGGCGACGTAGTTTTGAAAGTACTTGCGACAGCATGTGCCAAGTCAAACGCAAGTTTGCTACTTACAACTTTCGAGAAAACCATGTCAACAACACCAGTCATGTTCGGCTACTATGCAGATATGACTGCAAACTGGCAATCTGCCACAAGCAAACTGCTGTTTGGGGCATACGCTGCTGACATTTAAAAAAAGTATCGAAAACCTTGCACATATTTGTGGGCCCAGCGATTTGTCACCAAACCATTAGAAATGATGCTTTGTAGGCAGTCTTTGGCTGCGATGGCCCCTGCAGAGATGCATCACATCTGGAAGCATCATTAGGGATACTATTATTACAGTCACGAATTGAAATTGCAAGCTATGTGCGATCACATGTGGCAGCAACCGCGACAAGATGCATGTTTCTCATGTTTTACCAGCACTCTGCCAATTCATCTTGGTAGCACAACTCTCGCTCGTTTTCGTCACATATCTGCGGCCTCCTCGCGCTCAATGAACTGAAAAAAGGCAACCTGAGTTTAGCCAAATGCCATACTAATTTAACGGACTTCTACACCATAAATAATGCAACACTTGCCACAAACTCACGACAAGTCCACATCATGCAGCTTTGCAATATCGATAGGCTTCATACAACTGCGTACTGTTATTTATTCTTCCGATTTCCTACTCTCACCTTTAAATTTAGTCCACCTCTTGTTAACGTTTTTTTAATTATCTTCGTCCGTCGGGTGGGCAATTGCTTGGGTTTAATAGTATAGTTGCATAATTGTTAAGAAAGCCTGTGAACATTTCACTAATGTTTTACCATGCCAAAAAGTATATCTTTCCTCCCGTTTTGTTGTTCAGTGTAAACCCCACTATGTTTTTAAATAAATTATGAAAAGTAGAGCTTGAAAGCAAGGAAGCAGGGCTGTATAGGATGACTGCCAGTTGGCATGTTGGTATTAGTTCATGATGAAACAAGCATACGTTCTGCGTCCTTTCTGAGTCTTCGTACTTGTTGGCTCTTGTTTCAAGCAGGGCTGCGAAGCAGCCTTAAAGAGAGTAAAGCCTTTTGAAATACTTTGAAATTCTGTACACTGAGACTGCAAACATGACTGAGATTACAGGTGTACAAGAGCATGGGCTAGCTAATTAGGTCATTTATGTATCGTGATATCAGGGTATCACGTCTGGGGGACTTCATGAAAGTCAGTGTGGTTAACACGCTTTACTTGCACTGCCTAAATCATTGCCGGAAGTGTGGCCCAGAGGATGCTCCACTGTGGCTCATGTACAGCAGCTCATACTAAAACTGACAGTATGTTTATGCATTTATTTAATCGCAGTACCCTTACGGGCCCTCTTACGAGGGTGTTACATAGGGTGGTGAGCACAGTAAAAAAAAAAAAAAAAAGACGAGGAAAAAATGAGAATAATAAGCAATACCAGGCCGCAGAGTACAACTGTGGAACATATTAAAAAAAAGAAGTAATTTACATATACTTGGAATTAAGGCTTATAGCAAGAGCCATCATATATAGCACAAATATGAAGCAGAGGCATTCATTGTTATTACAAAATAAATACATAGTAGTAGTTGCCTGATGCAGGATTACATTAAATCTCACTGATGCAAAGTGTGTTAATGCCTGTATAACAAAACAGGTAGTAATATCAATTTAAGTAAAACTGCTTGCACGTAACAACACTTCAAAAGATGATAAATTGGTTTCAGTTGCTACATGTGATGCTCGGTTTTCCATTCCATTATTGTGCCTGCTCTATAGATGACTTATCATAGAAAGATGAGTGGCAAGCTATGCTTGCTACTTTGTTATCATGGTCACTGCGTGAAAAGACAGCAGGTGGCGAAGAAAAAAAGTCATCATGAAGCATGTGATGATGGGACAGTTTATTAAACAAAGGTACAATGTTATTACATATGTCATGAGGTATACAGTCGAGCCCGCTTATAACAACCTGAGCCTGACGCGACATTCGTTTGCTGTATTCCGAAGTTCGTAGTAAATGAAACACAGCTTTTAAAGAAATTGCGAGTGAAAACACAAAATCTTTTGCCCAAAAAGTCCATGATGCACTTGTTTCAAAGGCAGAAGCGATAATCACGGTCTCGAGTTTATTTCAAACGGCTGCATGCTCTTCGCCGAGGCCCGTGCATAAGCTACGTGAGGCACTGGCTCCACAGTTTCATCGTTGCAATCCGATTCCTCCAAATCCCTCTTGCCGTGTATTTCATTCACAATGCCCTAATCCGTGCACGGTTTCGCGGTGTCTGCATCATCATCGGTCGTAATGAAACCATTGCAGCAGATATCCCATCCACTCTCTCATGTCTGAGTCGACAACGCGCTGCCACAAATCGCCGCCCAAGTGGTCCTGTTTGGAAGCTTCAGGCTCGGCATCGGGCCCGACGTCAACTAAGTCGGTCTTGAGAAAACAGTTTCGTGCGCACATAGCCGTCAACGCCGCCCACGATTATTCACCATCTCCACAGCTAGATATCGGGACGCCAGAAGCGGCAAGTTGGCTGCCAAGTGGTCAATAGCTATGAGAAAGCGCTCCGCAACACGGCACCTAATGCCTGGATTACGCCCAAGCGAAGCGGTCACACTTTCGACGTTTTGTTGAGCGGCATGAAAAAGCGCGGAAGGCCTCCCGTCCGCCATCCTGACCACACACGCACACCAAGAGCGAGCAAGGCGAGCACATGCAACACATATGCCAGAACGCGAGGAACAGCTGTGGGCCCCTTTCTAGTCAGAAAACAGAAGCTTCTGAATTAGAACCAGCATGGCTGCACAGAGTTAAATAGACTGACTTTAGAGGAAAAGCTAGACTGAAAAAGCTATAACCACCAAAGCGCTGACATCTTGGAACGTTGTCATTGTTTCCATCACAATACTTTAGAGAAGCACTAGATTTAAACGTTTAATACACTCAAATTTTCGCAGCACAAATCATAAATAAGCGTCATCACATATTATAATAAACGAAAATTGTATGAAGTTATATCAACTACTTTGTGAAAAATACCAGGGCCATTTATACAATTTGCTCAGCGTGAAAAGCAGCGTTTGCAGGTTTGTTGAGTAGATCGCTCCACCATCCTCGTAAGGTTGAAAGCGTGGTGACGTGGCGTGCGGCCAATTGTGCCGACTCGCTTGCGCGCCGGGTGAGTCGTATACAGTGCCTTGACGTACGTATTTTTGTTGGCATGCGCCAAAACCTCAACTTCATGTGACAGTATCATAGTGCGATGTAGCAGAGACCTACCAAACAGAAAATGCCAGGTGTCATTGCAGCATGCAAGGCGACTATGAGTGAAGGTCACCCGAAAGCTGAGTATCGTTTCATTATGGCGGCACACGAGCGGTTATAAGTTTTAATGCATGGGCTCTACGGGGACCTTTTCCTCTGTAATCTGTATAATAACTCTTGGTGGCTGGCGTCGCGGAGCGTTGGATATGGGCGAAGGTGTTGTGATCAAGAGAAGAGAGCAGATTTGCGAGAGAAGGTGAAGGAGTTGCGATAGAGTGAAAAGAGGTAAGGATATGGCGGGATGCAGACAGGTTGGTAGCTTGCTTGGTGCATGAAACACGCAACTTGCGCGTAGAATGTTTTGTTGGGCTGGCGGGTTTGCATGGCCTCAGCGACTTCGATATTTCACGATTTGTTCCGCGCAAATTAACAGTCGTTCTTTGCTTCTGCACGCGTGAGTAGGGCATGCTGAGCTGAGTGCGAAGTGAGCGAGAACAGGTCCTAAACACAAAACGAATTGCGAATTATCAAAGTTGGTGGGGTAGCGTATGCTTGTGCACTAGAACGATACGATAAGACAAGGACGTAGACGATCAGATACAGTCAGTGTCCGACGATGTTGGCAAATGGTCTGGTCATTCCAAGCTGATGACACTAACGACAGTACCAGCGATCAAAAACTAAGGAGAGATGGCCGACCGGTCTTCGAAAGATTGGTGGCAGTGTGAAAACATCGGCCTCGTCTAGTGATGCAGGATTCTCAGAGTAGTGGAGAGACAAAGGACGGAGGGCTGTGTAAGAAAAAGCAGTCAGGGAGAGCGGGAACTAAAGAGGCGCGGAGGCAGGGGCGGTATTTTAACAATAATAATTTATGGGCACCTAGGCGATGCCTGATCTATGGTCGAAAGTGGTTTCCCAGGAATTCGGCAGAGCGTCGACTCCATTCGCTGGAATCAATCGGCGGCTCTCAGAGACGTTCATTGTAAGTGCGATTTCGTGCCATTGAAACAATGTATATTTTCATGGTCACGCAGATATTGTTCGTTTTAAGTGAAAGTTCGTTTTAAGTGGGGCCGTTATATGAGGGCTCGAATGTATTGTAAAGTGGTATGTACACAAAGTTTTGCGGCAGAGATAGCCTGCAGGAACGGTTCCCATGAACATGCGTATATCATCTGCAAAATATCAACAGCTAATATAGCTTAGAAGGTGTACAGCATTTTTGAAATTCGAATTTTGAAGCTATTGACACCATCAAAAGATACCCCATCGATGGGGACCCCCTTACTTGTAACCCTCATGTCATAGCTGCCATTTTTTTTTGCCTCATTTGTCTCAGCAGTCTATACTTCTCGGCAGCTGCTCGTGAGTCCATGGCCGCGGCGCATGCGTCGAAAATTTTGGTGACACTTCTGTTCTGTTCCTGTTCGAAAGAATTTCTTGATGTGGACCGTGCAGAAGTGAGTCACAGTTCTGCGATCTGACGTGGTCAAGAGCTGCACACGCTAGGTGGTGACAGTTTGCACTTAGTGGCTTGTCGTTTTTAGAGCTCCCTCGAACCAAACTGAAACTGTTCAGTACTGAGAAGCCTGTAATTAATGATCTCTCATGCCTGAAGCAAACAATCCGCCGTGTTATGACTAACAGGCTCCTAGCAACACAACGCAGAAAAAAAAAGTGCGACGCCAAAATTTTTTTGCGTCAGTACCCCTTTAAAAGTATGTTGTTTTATATGTCTTGCACAAGCTTTCTCATTAGTCTTCTAAGTAAGAAAGTCATTCCAAGTATTCGCAGTAGCACTAGCTGTTGTGTAAGCAAAAAAAAAAAAATTTTCCCTTAGGTGGTTCAAGAAGGGCAGCTTCACACCCAACTTCGGCAAGCAGCGCACAGAGGATACAGAGATGTGTGAGAAGGAGACGCAGGATGACAATCAGGGCAAGAAAGAGGAGAATCACGCAGGTGATGAGAACCACAAAGACAGCAAAGACTCCCCGGCGAATGGCGATGGCATTGGCGAACAAGGCAAGAATGAAGGCGAGGGGCAGAACGTGAAATCATCCTCCAGTTCAACAGACATCACCATCCCTATTGGTGATGCCGACACGGCCACGAAGGCAGACGAGAAGCAGGGCGACGAGAGCGTGCCGGAAAAACTGCCTCTGCGTGAGCGATTTGCCGTGTATCGACGTAAGCGCTACCTCCTTGTAGGTGCAGCCATTGGAGTCTTATTCCTCGTTACTGTAATCCTGGTGGTGACGGCCCTCTCTGGCGGAGGCTTTGGCTACGACGACGACGACTGGAGCATTCCCGTGGCAGCCACGGACTGCGGTCTAGTCGAGGGTCACATAGAAGAGGGTGCTTTCGTCTTCCGCGGCATTCCGTACTCTCTTCCTCCTTTCGGCGAGCACCGCTGGAAACCTCCGAGGGCCCTTCCAAAGCATCAGCGAGTGCTGGTACTGGAACGAAGCAGGTGCACAAGTTTGCTCCTAGATGCCCCCAAAAGAAGGCACCCGGTGTGCGTTTCAACACAAGCGAGGACTGCCTTTACCTGAACGTTTACACACCATCCATGTCCAAGCGGGGCCTTCGGCCAGTCTGGTGGTGCTTCCTGGCGGATCGCTCATGGGGATGGGAGAAGAGGACATCTTTCTGGAGCCGAGTCCAGGGCTTGCACGCACCCACGACGCCGTGGTGGTGACATTTGAGTACCGGCGCAATGCGTTTGCTTCTTGTCCTTGGACCTGCTCTCGAAGGGGGTGAGGCCGCCGACATCTGGGAACTATGGATTCCTGGACCAAGTGGCAGTGCTGAAGTGGGTGCAGCGCAACATCCGGCAGTTTAATGGGGACCCCAACAAGGTATGATGTCCTTTCAAATAACTTGTCTTTTGCAAAGTTTGATGGTATGGTGGCTGTAGACATGAACACTTGGCTTAACTGGTAGACAATGATGAAAAATACATGTGCGAACTGGTTATTTCTTCCAAATCGTGTCTACCTTTACTCTGTCACTCCATGCAGAGTACACGAGCCGTGTGTTGACCTGGTTAACCTCCCTCATTTTCATCACTTCTTTTCTCTCTCTTCTTATTCAGTAAAGTGCCAGAAATATAAAGGCTGTAAAGAAGCAGCACTAATGTGCCTGCTTCTTTGCAGACTAAGTCGTTTGGCTATAAGGATTATAGGAATGAATCTGATGTGGTCTCAAGTGTGACACTGAGACCGAATCACAGCACCTGTACCCTCAGCAGCAGAAGCTTGCAAGATGTGAAACACGTGGCGGAGTGGCGGAAAACTGCATTGCTGCGCTGCATACTATGATGTGCACCATGGTGTTGAGGTTATCGGCGATAGCTTCCGAGATTAAATTCAGCTGCAGCGCGTTGTCTAAACGCACTCTTGTTAATTGCCGAGACCACGTATGTAGCCTCGACACCACACTCCGGCACACTCTCGTCCGCCTGCTTCTCGTCTGCCTTCGTGGCTGTGTCACTATCACCGATGAAGATGGAGATGTCTGTTGAACAGGCGGACTTGAAAAACTGTCAGCATGAATTCTTCTATAATCTAATAAGTCTAAAGCAGGAGTTCTCTAACTGGGTCCTACGAAAACAGGAGTTTGCGTTTGTGTGAAAGGCATTTTGGGGTTCTGCCAACGATCACTGTAAATGCAATCCGTCCTCGAGACACAGAATATTGGCTGTTTAAAGTAACAGGTGTGTGAAGACGCTATGGGCAACAATGCTCGCATAACAAGCTTGGATGTTGTGCACATTGTCTGCGCATATGTGTGAGCACATATTATTCGCAAAAGCACAGCATGCTTTTATGTTTTCTTCCGAGACACGACTAAGGGCACAGCATGCTTTTGTGTTTTCTTCCGAGACACGACTAGACACGACTAATTCAATAAACTAAAGCTGTAAAGGTAAACTGTACCACAGGTATTGCAAAACACACTATATACACAAGAATTGCAGGTATTATAGCCTCAGTTTGTAATTTATACATATCTCATAAAATGGGATTTGGTTGTGTGAAAAGGAAAATGCTATAGCGGTTCTGGGAAAACAGTTATTCCTGTCTAGACTGGAAAAAGTGTGAATGCAGCATCCATGGGAACTCTTTGACAGGTTCTCTGAGCAGATACGCTATGTATTTGTTGGAAGAATGCATGAAATTAGGAACACGTCTTGCTGTTCCAAAAATATGTTTTCACTTGCAGTGCTTTGTGCAAAAGTATTGTTAAAAAGGGAAATTAGGGGAATGGTTGAAAGTATAGAGATGGAGAGATCAATTGTGTCAAGTATTCACTGTACAGTCATATTGGTTGCAAAGTGTCCAAGGCGGTTTCACTCACAGAGTATGCACACTAACTCTTGCGACACGTGATGCTGAAGTTGTAGTGTTTTGCATTTAGACTGGCGATCGCCGGTTTAATTCGCCAACCTCGGTAATTCGAACTCAGTAATTTTGAAATCCTGTCTAATTTGAAGAATTTTTGTGGTCCTGTATTTTGCAATGCAAGTTTGAGTGGCTAACTTAAAGCGGCAGTCAGCACTAGTCCGGTCATTTAAAAAAAAAATTGGGTCCTTTTTGTCCATTCCTTCTGATTTCGACACAAATCTGCAGAAATTACAGCCCTTATGTGCCACAAGGCAATGCACTGGAGCGCTACTAATGCGTGACAAGTGAAGCATCCTAGCCTTGTATCTTCCAGTGCAAAAAAAAAAAACATTACGACTGAAATGAGTGCATGTGGAAAAGGTATTCTTTACTGCAATATAGCGATAACACATGGGCATGTCGCATGCCGACGCTGTGAGGAGCAGGTGACATGCTGCCCGCGTGTTATCACTTTGTTGCAGTAGAGCACATCTTGTTTGCAGGTGAGATTTTGGGTGCCTACAAGACCACCTTTCTTTGGGGGGGAGGGGGGGAACCTGGCTGGCTGGCTGTCAGCAGTGAAGCCAGCTGTTCTCTCTTATTCGTGGCGAAATTGCGACCGGTTATTACTGGCAAACACAACCCTTGGAGCCATGAACTAGCCAGCACAGACTGAACGACCACCTACGATTACTTTCAATAATTCAGTCTCTTGCATCCCACTTATTGTATGTTTCGTTCACTGAAAAATCAGCTTAATTCAAAGATCTTTTTTTTCAGTCCCGGTGAGTTGGAATAAACGAAGTTTTACTGTACATACGACGAAAATTTTCAGTCTTTTTATGAAATGCTTCTTTCTTCAAATGCTTTCATCGTAGTGTGATTGAGCCCATAGCTTTTCTCTAGTACCATGGATAGCTGACCCAATAGCTATTAAAAGGTGAAAAAGTAAGCAACCGTTTTCAGAAGTAATTTTGAAGGTCTGCTATTGCTTTGAATGCACGCTGGCCTGGGCAGGTAGTTTGAGCTAGCTCAGCAACCACTGCTGGCATCTGAGAGCTAGAACAGCTCACAAAGGAATCATTCATTGAGTAAAGAAAACAAATGTATGGTTTAGTTAGACTTTAGTAAAGGGGCAAAAAAATGTGTGTTAGATGGTGCAAGTTTCTGATGGGTGTTCTGCGCAGGTGGTTGTGTTTGGCCATGGTGCGGGAGCCACATCAGCCCTGCTTCTCGCAACGTCGACAGAAACCAAGGGCCTCCTCAGTAGGGTCTGGGCCACAGGTGCATCTGTCAACTTCCCCAACCAGACAGTTGAGGAGGCTGCACGCAACAACCTCGAGTTTCTGGCGTAAGTAGATCCGTGACCTTACCATGCATTTGTTTGTTTCTAAAGGGGTCTTTCAACGTTTCTTTGACTGCCTTCTGTAGCCCTGGAGTTTGTGGTATTGAATACTGACATAAATACTAGGGAATCATCAAAATCAGTGCATAAAAAGTCTTTAAAGTTGAAAACTCGAGCAGACGACGAGAAAAAAAATGTTTTCTGACACATTTTATTTCTCTAAAAATTTCATCTGTTACTTTCAATAACCGTGCACCTCTTATAGAGATAGTTTATGCTCACTATAATGGGCCGGTGTACAACAGTGTTTCAGATAGGACAAACCATTGTTCAGCCTAAGTTTGGTCTGTCATAAAGTATTGGAGTGATGTTCGCTTTCAGTAGACCAAGATACAGTATACTATAAATTACAGCAGACAATATTGCAGCATATTTTTTAGATGTTCTGCACAATGTGTATCTTTGCCATGTTGACATAAGCTCACAACAGACTTGACCATACCACTATCTGCGCATTAAAGGCACGATAACAATAAATTGCACCTAGCAACATTGGAAGCTTTCTTCTAAGCCAAGCCTTCAGCTAAGCTTGTCTCTGAGCATGTTGGTCATGTAAATGGTTCACGTGTTGCTCGTGACTGAAACGTGGCGCAAAGTGATTGCATCGTTACTTGAGGGTTCCGGCCAATCTCTTATCACAAATTTCTTTGAGTTAAGCGTAAATAAAAAAAATTTGGCGGATCCCACGTACAGTGGGAATTGATGATATGCGAAGCACGAATGGGAAATGTTGATATGTCACTTTAAAATCAGCACAACGTTATGAGGTGGAGGTAAATGATGTGTCGTTTACCTTTGTTAGCTATCCACGTCAGGTGACACCAAATTGAGTATATGTGAAGCTAGCGAAACGACCGCGAGCATGCTATAAGCGTGGTATGTTGTCGTGTTCTTACATGACAGGCGTGTCAGGATTATTATGTTTGCACTAGTCATATATTTCGTCATCCATTGGCATCACGTAACACCGAATTCGGTATATGCGGAGCTAGCAAAATGACCGTGACCGCATCATGAAGGGCCCAATATTCTCCCATGTAGCGTCGACGCGCGTGCACACTGGGCACAGCGACGCTACTTTAGCAAAATGCGAGCACTCTATAGTCTGACGCCAGGCGCAACCAGTCAGAAATGCGACATGCTACGTTTCGCGCGAATGCGTTACCCAGACAACACTGCGTCTCCCTGTTTTCGTGGCGGAGGAACACCGGACGCGCAGAAACACACATGTATCAAAGCAACGCGGCGTGGCGCACGCCTTTGAGTATATTGCAGGACCGACGCTTGGCATGGCAACGCCAACATGACGCGAAGAAATGAATGCCAATGACCACGCGGGTCCCAAAAGTGTGTTTTTGTAATGAATACCTGTCTTATGTTGCATAAACTTTCAAGTTTTCAAAGCCCACACTGCTGAGCAAAATACGAAACAATCATTTACGGACTTCAGAAAATATGAACTCATTTTACCAGATTGTCATGGTCTATTGTAACAAGAGTAGACTATACTGGAACTTTCACTGTCACGGTAGCTATTGCACAGCACACCCACTGTCGAGTTGCGGATGTTTTCAAAATGTTGATATAGAACAGCTGCCGTAAGGAATTTCCATTTCAGCTGCCTGTGCTTAAGCTACGCGAGGAAACAGGACTGTGTCCCACTTTACAGTGCTTCGTAATACTGTATACACGCGTGTAAGGGCCGCACCCGTGTAAGGGCCGCATCCCGTTTTTAAGAAGCACATATTCAAAAAAAAAAAAAAAAAAAGTTGTGTGTAAGGGCCGCATCCGCACTTTCCTTGACCCATGCGTATTCAAAATGCGCGCGCGTGTGTGAGCTACTAGGCGTTGTCAGTAGATGGCGCTAGAGAACGCAATTCTCATCATCACCATATAGTACATCATTAGAATAATTTGTTGGTTTTCTTCATGCTAATATGTTCATGAAGTTGGCGAGAAATTTTTAGTTTTTTTAGTAGTGTTCATACACCCGCCAACTAAAGGTTAAAGCAGGATTTTATCTTTAACTTCTCACACTTCTATACAAACGCGCTATCCATATCGGCATTAGCATCACCAATTTTGGTGTTTGTGCGTTGTTCGGTCATTGTGCTGTTCAGCCTGCCATGTGCTCGAGTTTTGCGCACCGTTGAATGACTCTGGGACTCCAGCTAGTTTTCTGCGGGACGTTTACGTTTTGGCACGATGGGCAAGCAGCTGAATAGCTATACAGCTGGCTATAAGTTGAAGGTGATCGAGTTTGCCCTCGAGCACGGGAAACGGGCCGCCGGCAGAAAATTCGACGTTGACGAGAAGTGTGTTCGACGTTGGTGTGCCCAGAAGAAAGCCTTGCAGAACACCATTATCAAAAAGCGCGCTTTCCGAGGAAAACAGTGCAAGTATCCCGATTTGGAAGAGGAGTTGCTCCGCTATGTGACTGAGGTGCGGAACGATGGTTTTGCGCTCACTACAGACATGCTGCGCATGAAGGCACTAGCCTTGGCACGTGCGAAAAATATACCGGCCGGGGATTTCAAGGCTAGTGCTGGCTGGATGCGAAGGTTTATGAAAAGAAAGGGACTCTCTTTTCGGCGAAGGACCACGCTGTGCCAGCGGCTGCCAGAAGACTATACCCACAAGGTGCTTAGTTTTCACAAGCATGTCATCGGCCTGCGCCATCAGCACAGTTATTTGTTGTCGCAAATAGCGAACGCTGATCAAACTCCTGTGTGGTTTGACTCTCCCGAGAACTACACAGTCGAAGTAAAAGGCAAGAAGAGTGTCGCCGTGCGGACCACCGGCGCTGAGCGCCAACGCTGCACCGTGATGCTTTGTGTGACCGCGGACGGGCGGAAGCTACCCCGTACGTTGTTTTGAAAAGGAAAGAATTCCGAACGAAGTTTTCCCCAAGGGCATCATAGTTAGAGCCCAAGAGAAGGATGGATGAACGATGATTTGGTGCTAGACTGGGTGAAAAGTGTTTGGCAGAACAGACCGGGAGCTTTGTTGGCCAAACATTCACTTTTAGTATTGGATAGTTTCCGCGGCCACCTTACCGATAAGGTGAAGGAGCAGCTGCGCCGTGTCGGCACAGACATGGCCGTGATTCCAGGCGGCCTCACAGGAATGTTGCAACCATTGGATGTGAGCGTGAATAGACCATTCAAAGTTGAATTCCGAAGACTCTACACGGAATGGATGGCAACCGGCAACCGTGAGCACACGCCGACCGGACGGCTGAAGAGGACACCGCTTGCTACTGTTTTCGGTTGGATATTGTCGGCGTGGAGCTCGGTGTCGACGGACATTGTGTCCCGAAGTTTTAAGGTCACTGGGATATCCAACAGCCTGGATGGCACCGAAGATGACTGTTTGTGGAATGATGGTGCTCCGCAACACACTATCTCGGACTCTGAGTTAGAGGACTCGTCGAGTGACGACGATTAAGCGCTACGTGGCATACTGCAATAAACGCTCTTCGTTCACTAACTGGTACGTTGTTTTTAGTTCGCCAAAAAAAAAGTTCCGTGTATGGGCCGCAACCTGAAAATTAGCCCTCACTTCCTGAAAAAAAAGTGCGGCCCTTACACGCGTTTATACGGTAAATTCTGCAACCATTACATTCTCCTTTACCAACCCCTTAAAGAGCAGATGTGCCACTTTTCGAATGTCTTGATCATGCCTCATATTTTTCTCAACTCGTAATTTGCCCTGCTGTGCCACCAATCCTCAGCGGAAATTCAAACTGATATCAGTGGTCATGCAATAGATGTTCTGTTAGCACCATGCCAGTGTGGACAAGGCTGAGTTGTAGCATACGCCAGCAGACTTCTGTCACCCACTGAGCATAATTATTTAGTCACAGTTATGTGGGCAGTCAAGAGGTTTCATTCGTATAAAAGCGAATTCCAAATCTGTCTCATCACGTTTTATGTTGGCTATTTTAACTCGAAGACCACACAGGGCGGCTCACACAATGTACTTCCCTCTGCAAGAATATCCATTTTTCATCGTATATGAGACAGGACAGTTAAACAAGAAAGAAAATTGTTTAACCTATTACCCCGTGGAAGAACTCACCAAATCCTGATGCCACCACTCGCATTTTCTCTGTGTTGCAGTTGCTTCGTGTTGGCAATTAGGAATTGCATAATTCTTCATTGTGGGACAATACATTTGATTCGAAGAGAAGTTGTATGAATGTGCTGGCCCAGTACATTTGCTTATTTCCACAATGTAACAGGGGATACAGGCTCTTGTGTATTAGTGTTTCTTAAAAATTGTTGGGTAATGCTGAGAAAGATGTGCATTTTTATGAGCATGTGGTATTGCATTCTTGAGTTATAACTGTATTCTGTCAGTGACTTACACAACACACACACAGCATCGTTGAGCTCATCAGTAGATATATGTAGCATTAACAGCAAGTGTGTGACCTTGCATTTTGATATTTGTGTTGCTTTCATGGCATTTAGTAGTGTGGCATTCTGAACTAATGATGATGTTCCGTGAAATGGACGCAGTTAACTACTCTTTACAATGTCCAAATCTCACAACCTGCACCTTACATGAACACTGATTTCCAGAACCGTCCCATGGGGCTTGGAATATGACCTAACTGCATTGAGGGAGATGCACAATATAAATCCATCGTTATTGTGATCATAAATTTGATGTATTAGTTTTACGCAAGGTTCGATCCAGCAGCAGTATCCTGCACGTCTAAAAACAAAATGCAACCATCCAGTGGTGCAATAGCGTGCAAGACTGGGCTAGTCAGTTGGTTTTTATATTAAAAGCTGCGCAAGAAGACGATGACACAAGAAGGACACAGGACAAGCATTGAAATTACAACAGTCGGGTTTGTTGCATAGAAAGGAATATACACACGTAGTCCGACTACATGCATCATCACATTACGGATACTTGTCACTTTTTTCCAGCAGGCTGAATTTGCAATTGCGTAAATGGATGGATGGAATGGAAATGGAAACATTATGGTTGTTCTTAATCTTGGTGGTTCTTATTAATGCCATGCTTTCATGGGCTTTCACATCGTCTGAAGAAGATTGCAAAAAACTATGATATCAATGTTGTTTTCTCTGCTCTTGGTAAAGTTTGGAGAGCGTGTGCCATGATGGATGGGAGGGAAAATGTATGGTCACAAAAAAATGTGTGCTGCATGAATCATCGCACTTGTTTTGTAACCTCTGCATCGTGTAGTACGTGACGTCCCGCTAACTTAATTGTGGCAAAAGATATACTGGACAGTCTGGTGCCTGTCTTAGCGAGAGGCTACACCAGCACAACATATTAAAGGCACACCTACTTAACATTTGTCATCTCATTGTGGCTCCTGTTGTTAACCTTTGTTTCATTCTTCAAGTGCGGTCTTTGGGCACATTGACCAAAGGTACACGTAAAATTATAGAAGCTTTTTGCATTATAAACAACCTTGATGTTTGCATTTCCACCTATATGTCCATCTCCATAATTGTGAATTCAGCCGGCTCGAAAGATGTGGCTATTATTTCTAATGTGATGGTACACGTAGTTACTTGCATTTTTTGCTCTCTGTACAGTGAATCCAACATTTGTTAGTTCGGTGCTTGTCCTGTGTTATTCTTCTAGTATTATTGTCTTCTTGTGCTGCTTTACCATGAAGATTCAGCAGCCCCAAAGGGAAGACATTGCTCCTCGGCTATACAGTTAAGCATGCTTATAACGAACCTTTATATAACTAATTCCTCGATATAACGAAGTTTTTTTATTCCCCCCTTCCCATTACTCCATAAAAGTAAATGTATTTACGACCTCTATGCAACAAAGTAACAGCGGGATCCCGACATCCTTGATATAAAAAATTTTCGCCACGGACAATCTAGGAATTTTGCCCGAATTTTGTCATTTTGGCACGAGCATGCATCTTCTGCCGTTGCCCCACTGCCGACGATGTGTGCACGGCACGCTTGTGGCCCTGGCAACTTTCAGGTGAGCACACGAGATGGGCAGTCAAGCCTGCACCCCAAAAGCCGGCGTTGCTGCCGTTCTGGCCGCCGCGGGCGAATGCGCGAATTTGTCCTCCCCCTGCCTCAAAAAAAAAAAAATGTACTTTTGCATTGTCAGTGCCAGTTTTAGTTATTGTCACGAATGTTGGGTCCTGCTGCATGTGGAGGGCACTTTACCAAATAGTTTTCCGTAATATCCGTGTCGTACGCTCTTCGTTTTCGACGCTGTGCATGATTTCACTGCACGTGCATAGTGTGGCCCCCGACGACATTCAGCGTTGCCTTTTTTTCTTTTTTTTAATTTTAGATACGGGCAACAATGTCATCACCACCGAGAGGATGTCAAAGTAGGCACTGATAAAAATGATCCGACACCACGGTGTGACGATGACGAATCTTCGAAGGCCGGCTGGTCACGCGTTTCCGTCTTGCACCACACCACGAGATTGCGGGACCGTTGCTTTCGCGATTAGCTCTGGCAACAACACGACGGTGCGTTGAATGCAATGCAATGATTGCTGTAGCAAAAAAAGTGTAATGTTATATGAAGTAAGGCTGACAATCGACTCTTAGATACGATATCGCAGAACTCCTACAAAAGGTAGGTGTAAGCAAATACAGCCATTCCTGGGAGAAGTGCTTTTTTTACACAGTCTCTTCACACTGAAAGCGCACTGATGCTTGCCTAGATAGCACGTGCGCCAGCGATCGGGACCATGCCCTTAAAATCAAAGTTCACCCTGTTGCTACTCGAGCGACCCCCCCCCCCCACCCCTGCATTTTTTTTCATGCTCGTTCGGCAGTTTTAATACGTGGGGGGATGTTATCCTATGTGCTTTCCAGCCGATAGACAAGAAGGGCCGGCTCGTTTGATCTCTGCTTCAACAGAGCTCGTGCGCTTTTACTCGCTTTATATGTTACAATGCACGGGGGCATCTTAGCAATTTAGACTTGTTACGGAATATGGTGGCAATGGCAAAAGCCACGGAGAGTGTCCATATAATTTCTATCGCAATAATAACACATTTTTTACCACCAAATAGGTGTTCTTGGTTAGCGCTGCCTTCAATTACCCTTCTGTATAAATTTGTGCGTGTATTTTTCGAATTTTCGTACCGAACCTGCATATAACAGAAAGCTCTTTATAGCGAATATTTCTGGGAATTTGTTGATTTCGTTATATCCAGGGTTAGCTGTATTTATAAATAAGTTCTGGAGTCCTCACCCATGCAGGGCAAATGCATTGGTGCTCCCATGACTGATGCCAACTTAGGTATGTGTAGCCAGTGCACGAAAATACCTCTCTTGCTTTTCTTTTCATAGAGATCACTGGCTTGTAATATAAGCTGTTTATATGCTCTGTCAATGGATCTACATCTTGGCCCTGTCACAATATGTTCACTTTTTAATGCAGGAACATCAACTGTACCAGCCTCACCTGCCTTCACCAGAAGACAGCCGACGAAGTAATAGCAGCTGTGCCCATGTCGTGGTACGATGACGTGTCTGCACAGTTGCCACGCAAGCAAGAAATGACAGCACCAAGTCTGGTTGTCGTTGATGGTGAGAACTATTGCACATTACTGTTGGCTCTTTTTAAAACAAATGCGTGAGGACTCGAAACAATGCATGACAGTGTTTGTTCGAGCACATGCTCAGAAGCCTTTAATGTCAGCATACGTTTAACTTGTATACCGCACATGGGGCTAAACAGAACAAAGCAAAGTGCCACCGTGTCGTTTACATGCTGGCCACTTCACAAAATGACAAAGTTCTGGTGCTGTAACTGCCATTGCCACATCGGTAAATTTGAAGTGGGACGATTATGAAGGGAGAACAAAGAATTCATATTTTGGTGACGGAATTTAGATATATGATGACCATGCGGATCAATTGAGTATACAGTCGAACACAGATATATCGAATTGTCGGATATATCAAACTCATAAGTTATTCCTTTGAAATTCCCTTGTTAAAGTATAGAAATTTGCTCGCTTATATCAAACGGCATTTTTACCCGCCTTCAGATATATAGAGTGCTGCGCGAACTGGAAGGTGCGCTTCGGCACTCGCTGCGCCCCACGATATCTGCGCCAGCGCGGCTCCGCGCGCGAATGGAAGGTGCGTTTTGGCACTCGCAGCACCCAGCAACCTCCGCGTGGCACCACGTATCCGCAAAAACTCGAAACGCTCGAAAAGAAAAAGTAAGGGCGAGAAAGCTTGGACTGCACTATCTCTAACTTGCGAAATGGCTTTCTTCCCCCTTTTTTTTTCGTTTCTCTTTCTATCTCTCCTTCTTTCTCCGCGTACCCATCTGCAGGAACGATGAAGCTGACGTCCTCCTCCTTTCTCCTTTTCTTTTACTTTTTTGTTGCTGTTTTGCGAGTTTTGATCAGCCAACCACAGCTCGCTCTTTTTGTTGTTGTCTCAGAGAACATCTCACAGGTGGCCATCCTGTGGTGCCCATCGCCTTGCGAGCGCTGTGTGCTTCCGTTCACGCATTGCTTAGGTACCACCGCATGTGCAGCATTTCTCTTTTGCGTGCGTGGTGCGCAAAGCTGCTGCGGACTCCTTGAATTGTCGACTTTTCGTGTAGCTATGGCCAGCATCAAGAAGCGCAAGACCCTTGACAAAGTTGAAGGCTATTCAGCATGTTAAGGCGGCCGACAAATGTTCGACCGTCGTGGGCAACTTTGGGATACCGTGGAGCACCTTGTAAGCAAATATCAAGGCAAAGGCGGCAGAGCAGTGAACTTCGGTAGCCTGTCATGTGCGCGCTCCTGCCCACGGGAATATAGAAAAGGCACTCTATGCCTGGTTCTTAGAATTGCACGTGAAGAACATCTCCGGTGGATGGCACGATGCTGATGGTTTGCTGCTACACTCGGCGAAACGACTTGCCGACAACACCGGGTGGCTTCACCGATATAAGTAGCGCTACAACATCGTTGAAAAAACCATTTTCGGCGAAAGCAAAGCTGTCAGCAGCCAGGGAATCCAGCAGTGGATGACGAAGGAGTGGCCGGAAATCTCCACTATGTTTTCCCCCGCGGAGATCTTCAACTGCTGGCGAGATGTGAAGACGGACACAGTGGTCAACTGCTCCACGAGGCAGGCTTCGAGACGGGGAAACTTGTGGGAACCGGTGAAGGCGACGACGACGAGCGCATAGACGACTCATTTCGCAAGTAGTCGTTCCGCTTCCCAGCAGCAGTTCCACACGAAGTGTCTGCGGACAATTTCGTGGAAGCGGACTGCATAGTCCAAGCCGTTGTGAGCCTCGCTGACAAGGATATAATAGCTGCGATAGCAGGGACTCAGGATGCCTAGGACGACAGCTCATGTGACGAGGAGCATCATGCGGGCGAGGCGCTGGCTACACGCGCGAACTCCGCCACTGAAGTGGCGGCAGTGTTTTGCGACATTCGTCGTTGTATCGGCCACATGAAGGAAACCGGGCTGTCGCACCTGGACAGCCTTGATAATGTCACGAGGTCGTGACGTGAATGAAGGGAGCAGACTCCAGGTCAAAGAAGAAACTTTGTTCGGACTGAACTTGTGGCCACGCAAAAGGAAAGTAAGACACTGGCACTTATAGCGGCAAAGAGAGCGTCGGTCGTCGATCAGCTGGCAATCGGCGAATCGTGTCGGCATTTATACACCTGCCATCGAATATTCTAGTGTTATCACTAGCGGCGACGTATGTTCCAGAATAATCTGTAATGTTCACAAAGTGGACGTAATCTTAACAAAATGATCTTTTGCCATCCCAAAGTTTCTCTAACAGTGTAGGCGTGGTTTGCGCTGCGAATTATTGGCAGTGAAATGATGCGATAACAAAACTTGAGGACGGAACGTGGAATTAAGATCGAGACTAGCATCTTCAACATTTCGAATACGAAGCAGGTCAAGATAAGTGATTTTTTTCACGCAAATAAATCCTTCTTTTGCGGCGTGTGTGCCAAAGTAGTTGTCATTCTTGAATGTGCCTGTTGTAGGTGATGATCCGCTACAGGTGAGCTCTCGGGGCCTGTATTTTTTATATCGAATTTTCCATAAATCGAACTAATTTGCAATCTCCTTTGAGTTCGATATATTAATGTTCAACGGTATTGTTCTTATTACTGTTATCCAGTTTCTACTTTTTGGGTTCTCACACACTACAAGTAAAAAAAGCAAATCTTCTTTCTTTTTTTCTCCCCCAGGAGTCTTCATCAAAGATTTTGTCTATGAGCTGTGGGCATCTGAGAACTTCACCCGAGTTCCTGTTGTAATTGGTGAGTGCTTTTTATTTAGATTTGTGTGTGGGATGCATAGGCATGCCACTTGCTCATTCACACTAGCAATTAACAGAGTTTGCGCTAGTGATTTGGACTGAGTGCCAAGCAGCTAATCAGGTTGACTTCTATTTGCACACCTTGTGCCATCAGCCTGTTTTCATGCCATGAACACCTCGCGATTGGTGCTTATCAAGTCTGCTTGCACTGCAGTCACCTCTCGTGAAATGAGCTAGCATCCTGTTCCTCTGCGAAGATGAGCAGTGAGCGATTGAGCTAAAAAAATTATTTTTTAGTTTTGTTCTTTATCAGTGACCATGCATGACTATCGTAGTTGTGAGACTTCTGTGATTTGCCGATGTCAGTGAGCCTTTATCATTAAAATATAAGGCACGGCAACCAAACTGAGGTTGAATGCATTACGTTTGATAGTTTGCCATATCTCTGTGCATTTATTACTGAAAAAAATAAAAGCGGCATGTGCATTAAGGCTCCCTTTTTTGGCGTAGGTTCCAACCTGCAGGAGTTTGCCTCTCGAAGGGTGCTCCCTGAGGCAGACCAAGTGGACAGCGCAGAGCTCAGCTCTTACGTCAGGGACCGGCTGGGGACCATTGACCCCAAGTTGGCTGACAAGGTGCTGCAGATGTATGTGCACAACGACACAATGCCAGCAGAGCAGCTGCACACAATGGTAAGGGCAGCATCCTTAGTCAGTGCAATCTTGAAGCCATCAAGTGTCTGTGCCCAGAACAGGAGACTAGTCGAGCCTGTTTATAACGAACATGATCCTGACGCAGAATTCGTTCGCTGTATCCTGAAGTTCGTAGTAAATGAGACACCGCATTTAAAAAAAGCTGCGAGTGAAAACACAAACTTTTTTTTGCCTAAAAAAGTCCGTGATGCAAGCGGTTCAAAGCACAGAAGCGATAAGGACGGTCTCTAGTTTATTTCAAACAGCAGCGTGTTTGTTCGACGAGGCCCGTGGCATAAGCTGCATGAGGGACGGGCTCCAAAGTTTCATCGTTTTCGCAATTCGATTCCTCCAAATCTTTCTTGCCCCGTACTTCATTCACAATGCCCTAATCCGTGCACGGTCCCGCGGTGTCGGCATCATCATCGGCTGTAATGAAACCATTGCAGCAGATATCCCACCTACTCTCCCATGTCTGAGTCGACGGCACGCTGCCACAAATCGTCCCTGAAGGGATCCTGTTCGGAAGCTTCAGGCTCGGTATCAGGCCCGACATCGACGAAGTCGGCCTCGCGAAAACAGTTCCACGCACATGTAGCCGTCACCGCCGGCCACAAAATATTCACCATCCTTACAACCAAATACCAGGACGGCCGAAGCGACAAGTTGGCTGCCAAGTGGTCAATAGCTATGAGCCAGCGCTCCGCAACGCGGCAATAACGTGCAGATTACGCTCAAGCCAAGCGGTCACACTTTCGACGTTTTGTTGAGCAGCAGGAAAAAGCGTGCAAGTCCTCCCGTCTGCCATCCTGATCACACAAGCACGCCAAGGCGAGCAAGACGCGACACGCATGCCAGAATGCGCGGCACAGCTCTGGGCCCGTTTCTAGTCAGAAAGCGAAACTAACTCGCGCCAGCGTGGCTGGCGTCGCGGAGCGATGAAAACGGGCGAAGAGGTTGGGATCAAGAGAGGAGAGCGGACTTGCAAGAGAAGGGCAAGGAGTTGTGATAGAGGGAAGAGAGGGGAGGATATGGGGAAAGGACGACCTTGAAAACCAAAACACAGGGGAAGGGGAAGTAGGCAGGTCGGATAGCTTGCTTGAAGGGTCCACGAAACGTGCCACTCACATGTAGTTAAGCTTGAAAGAGTGCCTGCGCGTGCAGAGGTCAAAGCACAGTCACTTGGATCTGCATGCGCGGCGGTGTTCAAAGAATCAGCGGCCGTGGTCAAAAATTGTTTGTTGCACCAGAGGGCTTGCGTGGGCTCACCGACTTCGATATTTCGCGATTCGTTTCGTGCAAATTACTAGCCGTTTTCTTGCTTCCGCATGTGTGCGGAGGGCATGCTGAGCGGAGTGCGAAATGAGCGAAAACAGGCCCTAAACACGAAACGAATCGCAAACAATCAGAATCGATGAGGTAGTCTACGCACATGCACTAGAGGCAGACGATCGGTTAGAGTCGGTGGCTGACGATGTAGGGAAATTTTCTGGTCACTCCAGGTCGATGATGCCAACGACAGTACCAGCGACCAAAAACAGGAGAGATGGCGGACCGGTCTTCGAAAGATCAGTGGCAGTGTGAAAACACAGGCCTCATCTGGCGATGCAAGGTGCTCAGAGTAGCGGGGGCACAAAAGACGGAGGAGTGTGTAACAAAAAGCGGTCGGGGAGAGCGGCAACTAGAGGGGCCCGGAGGCAGGGTCGGCATTTAACAATAAGAATGTATGGGCACCTCGCCGATGCCTGATCGGTGGTTGAAAGTGGTTTCCCGGGAAGTCGGAAGAGTGCCGACCCCGTTCACTGTAATCGATCGGCGGTGCTCGGAGACGTTCGTTGTAAGTGCAATTTTGTGCCGCTAAACCAATAAATATATTCACGGTCATGTGGATATTGTTCATATTAAGCGAAAGTTTGTTTCAAGTGGGACAGTTATATGTGGGCTCGGCTGTATGTTTTATCATAAGTATGCGCTCAGTCTTGCTTTGGGAAGGGGAGGGGGTGTCACTATAGGCTGACCATGCAACTCCTTTCCTCATAGATTTAGTGCCATACGCAGGAAATATAGCCAACTGCTTTCCTAAGATGGTATCAGTTGTGCGTACTGTACATATTTTCAAGGCTCTTCATCATTTCAACTGAGATACAGTGTAAACCACTTAGATACCTGCAAAGTCTCCCAGATTGTGACCATTTCTTTCGTTTGTACGGTTGTCATGACAATCTTCTGGAATAGAAATTTCTGTGCGTGATCTGGCGGCAATGACAAAAATGCAGGTCAGCCTACTCCAGGCTTTTTGCGAATTCACCGCATTTTATTATAAATGAATTAAGGAGGCGTTAGTCTGAATGTACAGTAGAATCTGTGATGCGAAATTGCGGCAGATACGAATTCATGAAATTCCCCAGCCGAATTCCACTGTGTCTGTTGGGCCGAAATTCCTAATCGCGGCGTGTGATATGAACTTTAGTACCGAAATTGTCGAACGAAGGCTGTCGAGAGCAGCATGCTCGAAGCTTCAAAAATAAGTGGGGGATCAGCGCACGTGTGGTTGTTGCCATAACCGCTGTGGACGAAATTGCGGTCATTTTGACACGATAATGTATGGCGACGACGTTACTGACAGGACTCCGAAAGTGTGCATATGTCCAACGCTCGACCAGTCAAAGCAACGCTGCTTTCCGCAAACTTGTCGACAATACAGCCGCAGATGCGATCATAGATAGCATAGAACGACTTAGTTTTGAAGGCACGTGCGCAGCCAACGCACACAGGCTGAGAACGGAACTACAGTTTGCCATAATCGTCATGCAGAAAATCGCGGTCGCGATGACACGATAGCGATCTACTAGCTCCTAGGGCACGTTTAACGCAATGGTAGATTAAAGGCAGTAAAGACGTAAGGAAAAAAAATGGCTAGAAGCGTTTTGGCGTTCCTGTCCAAAAAATATAGTAGCGAGCAAAGCCAAAGCTTTGACCACCGTTTTCACAGCAGCCAGCTGCGCCAGTCCTGTAGGTTCACGTGTGACCCAGGAAGACATATGCAAGTTGTTTGGACAGAAATAGATTTTGCTAGTTGTTCTTATGAAGCGAAATTTTGGGAGTATTTACAGCTCCCCTTTTGAGAGATTCGCCTTGGGGGAAACCTACTTCGTGTGTTCGGTCACTCCAAACCATCATAAGACTTCAACACCTATGTTGGCGTTCGCCATTTGAACCCTACCCTCCTCCCCCTCGCCCCCCCCCCTTTTCTTGAGCAATGTTTTTTGTTGTTGTTGTTGTTGTTGTTGTTTGGGTGCCATGAAAAATGGTGAAAAATAATTCAGCGCATTGTCTATCATTTCCAATGAAAATAGTTGGAGGGGCAGTGGCGTCAAAGTAGATTACGGCAGTTCGTCAGTACTTTCGCTGTCTCGAAACTTTGAAGAATTTTTCATCGTGCACAGTATTAGCAACTATATTAACGGGGAGAAACGTGATGGTTGAACTCATATAAAAAGGAACTGCGTTTGTAAACTGAAGCTACAGCAAATAGGCAATTGCTGTACATTTTGCGATTGGGCACTGGTTTACCGAGACGACTATGTGTAATGCGAAATCAGTGGAGCTTGCTAGCTTAATACAACACTGTCAAAATACTGTACCGTGTGTCCTGAAAGTGTTTTTATTCAGCTGATGGCTGTCGACCTCTCGTCACCGCTCAGTGTCAATTTATGCTGCGTCATCACACTGAGCGTTTACACGTGCAAGTCTTGCAAACAACACCCACCAATAAGTTAGGAGGCTGAGGTGTTGCAATGCTAGGATCTAAGTCAAAGAGGACAACCTCACGAAAGCATTTTACGCCTTTCTCATCAGCCACGTGGCGTACGCCACCCTCTTCCTCATATTGAAGAAGACAGAGCTCTACAAAATTGATACATTAATTAGAACAGGATTGAAAAGGGTCCTGAGCCTCCCTCGCAACAGTTGTACGGAACGATTCCTTTAAATGAGCCTGCACAATACAACTACTGAACTCTTTGAGGCACAGCGGCATGCCCAGATTAGTCAGCTCTTATTCTCAAGGGCGGGCAACGAGATATTTTTAGAAGCTGGCCTTCAGCCCCTCTTCATGCCGCCTGAGAAGTCCCAACTTTGCACACACACCATGAAAGCGATAACAGTTGAACCGATTCCCAGAAACACACCCGACCCATAATGAAAGATGAAGAAAAGCGAGAGCCGAGGCCATACTTGCCAAGATATTGCGCAATGATATGCAGATCCTCTTCGTTGATGCTGCAAAATATTGGAATCGAGGTGCCTACGCAGTCTCTGTGGTGGATGCCCATAGCTCGCTCGTCAATGCAGCCACGGTAGTTACCAACTTCATCCACGAAGCGGAGGAAATGGCTATTGCGCTAGCCCTTCGAAGCTGCACGGGAGCTTGTGTCATTTACTCAGACTCTAGAACAGCTATAGGAACTTTTTCGGTGGCCCTGGTCTCTTCGAAGGCAGCTACGGTTGTTAACAGGCTCTTCAACCACGAGGCGAAGGAGAAAAATTTCCCATCCTCACACATCGCATAGTTCCCGGCTCACATGAGAAACATTTCCAGCTTTCCTGTCTGCAACCCAAACGAGCAGGCACACCAACTGGTGCGCGAACGCACTTTTCGCGTCTGCGCTCTGCCCCCTCGCTTCAATGCAGCCTGCAGGAACCTCGACCACAAAGAGCTGCTCATATCATATCACGAATTCACCTCTCATCATAGATTAGAACAGCCCCGCCACGGTGGTCTAGTGGCTAAGGTCCTCGGCTGCTGACCCGCAGGTCGCGGGATCAAATCCCGGCTGTGGCGGCTGCATTTTCGATGGAGGCGGAAATGTTGTAGGCCCGTGTACTCAGATTTGGGTGCACGTTAAAGAACCCCAGGTGGTCAAAATTTCCGGAGCCCTCCACTACGGCGTCTTTCATAATCAGATGGTGGTTTTGGGACGTTAAACCCCACAAATCAA